TTTTATTGATGCATGATATGTCCTACCTGATTTATAGAGATTTTATGTTTTTTAAAGTTCAAGCTAAATATCCAATGTTTCAGCCTTGGAAAAATATTTCATTTGGATATAGTGTTTTAAGAGGTATAGAGAATCTCATTCTCTGTTAGATAATCCTTGGAATATTTTTTTAAATATTAACCATCTCAATCCAATTAAAGTATCTTAATATTTATTTCAATCTGTATTTTAATTTTATTGTAATTTATATTAAACTTGAGCATCTTAAATTTAATTATATATAAACCATTCATATAATTATCGGATCTATGAAAATATCATTATTGTAAAAGAACAACACTTGTACTTAATAAGACATTTAAATCCATTTAATACTAAATAAAATAAAAATAATGTCTTAAAATACTAGAATAAAATAACAATTATAAAATTCTATTATCAACCCATTCAGCAAAACAAAATAACTAGTTTTTACAACTAATGCAACAACCTTTGCTCCATTATTAAGGTATAGGTTGCTTTAAACTAACCTTTTAAGTTTCTTTAATTCCTACATGCAATTGCAAATGTGAAAACTATATTTGGTATCCAATACCCAAGAATTATAATGAAAAGTAGTAAAATAGTTTTTAATTATAAACATACCTAAAGTAGAAGTTTTATTAAGCTTCTTTGTCTGCACAGTTATAAGATATTCCTTGCAATTTCTTCTCTAATGTCCTTTTTTTCCATAATAATGACAAGTGCACTTGTGTTTCTTGATGCTCCTATTAGATTTGTGAAGAGCATTACTTGTAAGTAATATATGATATTTATTCCAAGAAATGATTTAAAGCTATGAACTTCAAGTACTAATCAAGTTTAGAACTTGGTTGATCAATCTAAAAAGATAAAGCCTAATGGGTCTAAGTGGGTATTTAGAAGAAAGACTAATGTGAATGGCAATATACTAATGTACAATACAAGCTTTAAGGAGTAAGAATATATAATCTTGATGGTTTAATCAATATATTTGATTTCATAAAAAAAATATAGATAAACTTTGTGTTTACAAAAGCTTAGTGGGAGTGGTGTCATTTTTCTAATATTATATATAGATGACATATTGTTATTAAAAAATAATATATCTTTACTTTAATCAGTAAAATTTTTGTTGTCCAAAAATTTTTTTAATAAAAAAATTAAGAGAAGTAACTTATTTATTGGATATAAAGATCTATAAATATAAATATAGAAGGTTGCTTAGATTATCATGATCTATGTACATAGACTAGATGTTAAAATAGCTTAGCATGGAAGAATATACAATTAGATTCTTATCTATTTTGAATGGAATACCTCCTTTCAAAGACATGTGTTTTAAAACATAATTGAGAGAGATATGATGAAAGTAGTATCCTATACTATAAGTTCGAAATTACTTGAATTAAGATTTTTTTCAATGTTGAAAAAATAGTGAATACTAGTCAATATATATTTTATTCTAAATGGTAGCACTTTGAGTTGGAAGAGTTTCAAACAAGAGAGCATAAATTATGCGATAATTAAATAAGAGTACACCTTTATATTTAAGGAAATAAAGAGATTGTTTGGATAAAAAAAAGTTCATCAATTAACTAGGTTGGTTCCTAGCATTGTTGATCAAGTTACTCTGAACTGTAATAACAATGAAGCCATTACATAAGTAAAAAAAACCATTTAATTTGATAACTAAATGAAATGAAAGATAAAAAGATACAATAAATACCTATCAAAGAGAATTTATAAGACCCTCTTACTAAGTTACTATCAATGTAGAAGCATTAATGCTACATTAAAAAATATGGTATTAGATACATAAATGATTGACTTTAGTAAAAGTCAAAGGTTTTTAATTTTATATACTTTTCTGCCAATTAATGGTTACATGTGATATTATTATTTTCATGCAAATATAAATTTATCTTTAATACTCATAAAATATTATATTAATAAATATAATATTTGATTTATGAATTTTTAGAAAAGATAAAGTTTATGAAATAAAAATACTATATAAATAAAACTATAAAATTATTATAATTTAATATTTGAGGAGATTGTGGTTTTATTCATATACAATTATTGTAGAAGTGAGTCAAATGATGAAAAGTCATTTTTGACACGCCAAATATTAATTATTATATATAGACTTGTGGTAATGATGGACTTTATTTAAGGTATAATTTTTAGTTAGTGAAAAATAATTTAATTTTATCACACTATATGCATCAATTTATTAAACTGACAAATAGTTATGATTGATTGTTGACTAATCATTTATCAATATTTTGATCAATTATGCCACTTATTATTCATTTCTTTCTCATTTGTTCCTTGTAATAAGAAGAAACTACATCTAAGAACTGAATCATGAGAGGAGATCGGTAGCAACGTCATAAAATCAAACATAACATGGCTGTTTTAAGTTTTCAAACATTAAGAAAAGATATACGAGAAGAAGAACATTGAAGAAAAATGGCAACTAAAAGAAAAAAAACTTGTAAATAAAGAAAAAAACTGTAAAAATAATAAATTGAAGAAAAAAAATGAATATACGAGATTAACCATATTTTTGAGTAGTTAGATGATCTATTTATATTAGTACGATAGAGTTTAATGTAAATACCTAAATCTAATCCTAATCACACCATTCATATTAGACATATAAGAAGATTACACGATGAATTCTAAATCTATTGCGGAAATGAGAACCACTCTTGCAAGAACAATGAAGAAAAATGGAAACTAAAAGAAAAAAGCTTGTAAATAAAGAAAATAACTGTAAAAATAATAAATTGAAGAAAAAAAATGAATATACGAGATTAACCATATTTTTGAGTAGTTAGATGATCTATTTATATTAGTACGATAGAGTTTGATGTAAATACCTAAATCTAATCCTAATCACACTGTTCATGTTAGATATATAAGAAGATTACACGATGAATTCTAAATCTATTGCGGAAATGAGAACCACTCTTGCATCTAAAAACCGAAACAGCTACTGGGTGAGCTTAGAGAACAGTTGGTAGAGTGGAGAGAGAGAGAGAGAGAGAGAGACAGATGATAACACATGCAGGCCACAAGGACACCACGAATCTATTCATTTGATTTGATTATAAACAAATCATCAATGCCATTGATACCCCGTAATTTTAGCATAAAGAGAAAATGCTTATAATAAATAATTTCTTGTTTTTTATTGATTTGAGATATAATCCTTTTATATATATATATATATATATATATATAATAGGAGTGTATCCAAACAAAAGTAGATTAAAATCTTAAAAAGAAATTATTAAAATTAAAATTTTTTATTTTTCAGATTATTTTGTTTGAAAATGTTAATATGAAAAATAAAAAATATTATATTAATATATTTTTAATAAAAAAATACTTTAAAAATAAACTAGCAATAGGATCATAAACAGCATTATTTTCCCAACGTGTTCTTCTTTTTCACTATTCAGAGTGATGTGAGAGTAGAGAACTGTCGTGCAGTTGGTGCATCGTTTTGCTTTAATGCTCTTTATTGCCAGCAGGAGCTAGCAGCGGCAACTTTTTGTGTGGCTGGCCCTCTACAACAATTCACGCGTTTCTTCGTTATTACGTTACTTAGGCAAATTTGTACCCACCCTGCTCCATGTATTTATATTATTTTTTCAATATAATATTTCAGTATTGCAAAACATACTTGTGCAAGAAAATATAATAACTTGAATTATGGTCCCGACTAATTAAATAAATTAAATTTATTATATTCACGTGAAAAGAAAAAAAGAAACAATAATAATAAACGATAATATATATATATATATGTGTGTGTGTGTGTAAAATTGATAAATAAGAATTAAAATTCAAAAAAAGGAAAACAATGCAATACCAACTTGGATTAAAGAATAAAATTAAAAGTAATAAAAATTTTATAAAAAATTAAGGAAAAAAATCATAAAAATAAAGATTAAATTAAAATACCAACATATGATGAAAAAAAATGAACATATAGAATTTATCATAAAAAATCATAAATGTAATTTAAAACATTTATACAAGTATTCAATTAAAGAAATCATGAATCATTATTTAAATAAATAAATAAATTAATTAAAAATAAGAAATTAACAAATAAATATAAATTAAGATATTTAATATTTCAATACGAGTAATTTATCAAGTTATGTTTAATAAATTTATTTATGAAAATCAATATATAATAGAGATTAATACATATAAAATTTATTGAATAAAATAAAATAAAAAAATAATATTATTTAAGACTATATATATTAAAAAAATGTAAAAAATAAATATTTAATTCATATAAAATATATTAAAAAATTAAAGATTAATCATACTAACTCCAAGAAAAATATATTAAAAACATGTAATATAATTTAAAAATAATTACTATTAAACAAAAGATTAAAAAAACACCAAAAAAATAATAGAGAAAGGGTATTAATAAAAATATAAATTTAAAAATTATTTTAAAAAACACATAAAATCATTAATATAAAAATAAAATAAAAATAAATAAATATTTAAAACCCAACGCCTAATCCAATAAAGAAAAAGCCTGTAGGTAGACCTTTTATTTTTTTTTAAAGTTTAAAGGGGTAGATAGTGAATTAGAGTTAAAAAAACAGACGAGATGTTATTTATTAATATTAAATATAATTATTGGTTTTCTTGGAAAAATAATTTTTTTTATTTATTTGGAAACTTATTTTTAATTTATTTATGGCCCAAAAAACATAAAAAATATTTGAATCAATTAAGAACAATTTAAATAGATTAAATAAACTCAATTACATATGAATAATTTTTACACAATATAATTTTAAATTTAAATTAAATCAATAAATTAAATCAATAAATTTCAAGATTAACCTATAAAATTAAATTTAATAAAAATATTAAATAGTTTTTCACCTGCTAGGTATTTTTGCTATGTTAATTTCTTTTATGCAACCCGAATGCCTTTAGACTAGTTCTTTTATTAAAACACAAGAAGAAGAAAAATAAGAAGACCATCCTATCCTAAGTCCTAAACGACAAATAAACAAACACTAGATAGAAGATGATCCTTCCTTGCATATCAACGGTTGTTTTCATCTCCTCCTCCTCCTATGTTTTGTTTTTGAGATAGCGAGAGACAAACAAGGATCGCCTGAACAGTTGAAAATGGCTTTTTTAAAAGAAATCACCAAAGTAACGGCTATCTACATGCAGCTGTCGATCATCATGATGATCTCCATCACACAGCACTCAAAAGCCAGGGAATTACGACCGTCAGATCATGGGCTGGATCACCAGAGCCTGCCACCAATAGGGGCGAAATTCCCACCTGACATGAAAGAATTCTTTGGAGCATCTAATTCAGCGACGAGAAATTCGATGTCGCCGTCAACTGGTGTTGCATTTCCCAAAGCAAAGAACTCAAGCGACGCGTCGTGGTGGAGAACCGTTGGAGGTGGTGGTGGTAAAGGCGGTGGTGATGATCATGTGAGGCACCTGCTGCTGCTGGCAAGTTTGGTGTGTGGGGTCACGGGATTGGGTTTGTTAGTTTCTTCTGCTGTCATTTGCTACTGCTTTATTAGGCATAAAAACAAACATTCATCATCAGCAGCAACAGATAATAATAGGAGTATTACTGTATATGCTGGTAAGTAGTACTCTTACTTGCTTCATTGTTTTCCCTTTAATTTAGTTTGGAGGAGGAGAAGACTTTATTTTATATTTATAGTTTTGTTTATTTGTTTGTTGAGTTAGGCTTCCTTTATTAAAAACGACAGGTGTAGTGTTCAATCTGGTAGTTACCTGGTTTCCACTGACATTGAGCAATTGCTGGATCTAGTTGGTGTTTTTGCTTCCTTAACTTGACTATTGAAACACATTTAATCAGGTTTGTAATGATTTTTACAAATTAATTTAATTTTTAACTTTTCATTTATAGAAAATACAAATTTTAATTTAAATCAAAAGCTTGTTACACAAGTCATTTAAAATTTTGTAAAATCTTTGATTTAATCAAACCATTAAATTTTTAACCTTTGGTTTATATATTCTAACATGTACTACCTCTTAAGCTAAATTTAAAGTGGGTTTTGCTTATTTTTAGAGTTAAACATTTCTTGAAAATTATTCTTGTGTCTTAGTTGTTTAACAAAAAAATATATTAATATAATTAAAATAATTTATAAGTTAATAAAAAATCAATCTAACAAAACCTTAGTTGACATATTTATTGTAAAATCTAAAACCTTTTATCTTTTATCATATCAAGAAAAAAAAAATTATTTTGTTTTAGTTTATTTAATGAACAATTGATCATTTATAAATAAATTTAAACAAAATAATATAAGCTTAAATCACACATAAATATAATCGGCTCAAACTTGAGCCCGAGTTTAAAGATTCATGTTTTTTTATTTATTTATTTTAGAATTGAATTTCAATTTATTACAAAATTTATTTTTATACATAAAAAGTTGTTTCTTGCAAGCTAATATATATAATCTTATAGACATCACCTACTAGGTTAGTAAATGACTATACCTTTTTGGAACTTAAAATAGTGGTCACTACCCTTTGGTTCCTTTTTTTTTTTCTAAGCTTACTACTTTCTCTCAAAGTTCAGGAGATCCTTGTGCTAGGTTTTTAAACCTTCACACTTGGAGTTTCATTATGAATTGTTTCCTCAATTTTTTCTCTCTTTCTCTATTGCTTTTTTCTTCCATTTTCATTTTGTCTCTCTCTTTCTTTACCCTTTACATTGATTTTCTAGGTGTATTTATAAGGTTTCAAGCTAGGATTTTTATGAATTTGATCAAAGATTGATCCACATTCATCAAAACTTAACTCTTCGGTCAAGATAAGAGAGTTTTGGGTATGTTTTATAGTTGTGAGCTTTAAACATTCGATGGTTTTAGGATGGTGATTTTGTAACAAACTCAAACATGATTTTTTTTTAATCAAATTTGGAGGTCAATGTGAGGTGTTTTTGTACCTCTAATCTTGAGAGATATTTTAAGACTTTGATAAAAAAACCTCTAGGAGGTTTCTAAGTGTGAACACGAAAAAATTAAGTATGTTTGTATACTAATATGACCCTAAATAAAACATTATGGAAATAAGTGTAAAAGATCTTATATTAAGGTTGAGAACAAAAAAACAATAATTAGTTGATCTTCTAATATGGCCCTAAATAAAACATTATGGAACAAGTGGTGAAGACCTATAAAAACTATATATATATATATATAAAATAAACTTGTTATGAAATGAAATTGTTGTTAAGAAATTCAATAGGAAATGTTTCATATGTAATACAGTTGAACATAAAGCTATATATTGTTCTTATATTGTTTATTTATGTTTTTTTTCATAATATTTAGTTAAATTTATCATGTTAAGGTGAAAATGTTTCACTAATGGTGTTAGGATAAGTATAATATAAACTCAATATGGACTTCAATACTTATATTCTAAACAGCTTGCTATTAACATGTCTTATCATTTTTTTTCTTATTAATTCTTAATACCATGTTTGTAAAATAATTAATCTAGATTTATATGGTATAATACTCGGTACATCAAATACTTGATCCTTCATAATCTTTAGCCGACATCGTTGTTATGAGAGGAACTTAATATGTTGTCAACATAAATTAGCATTATGAGTACCTAATAAAATTTATAAGTATGGTATTACGTAAAAAAGATGATTAATATTATCATGTTGATAATTTATAAAGAGTTTATACTTTGTTTATTTTTAATACTATTGGTGAATCCTCTAACCTTGACATTTGTTTTTATCATTGTTTAATCTTTACATTAATCTTACATCTCAAAATCATTTTTAACTCACTATCATCATCATCATCATTGTTGTTGTTGTTGTTGTTTATATAGTTCACCTTCTTGTGATTCGACATTAGTCTTGTCGGGTTATTTATTATTTTAACACTCATACACTTGGGATAAGACATTAACTCTTTGATCATGTCACAGTCGAACCATGACTATTCAGTCGTTAAGAAAAAGAAATTGTTGGTAAGATATATCATCCATCATCAAGAGGATATAACTATATTTTAATAACCATATATTACTTCATCAAGTGAGTTAAAGCCATTTCTTATCGATTGATAGATCAATAAATAGTGATCAAATTCATTAAAAAATATATTATCCAAAATTTGAACTCCTAGAAATTATCATCACTAACTAAAGGCTAGTAGGTAAGAAATTATCATTAATAGAAAAGATATGGAAAAATTTGCACATAATTATGAATTTAAAATAGTCCACTCCACTCCTTATTATGCCTAAGCTTAGGTAAAAAAAAAAATACCAATAAAACTATAGTCCTTAAATTTAAAAATTAGTTAGATAAATGACAAGATTGGTTTTTTATATTATATTATCAATGGCATCGAAGTTTTTAACTTGTGCAAGTTTATTTATGACCTGAGTATAATGGCTTAATGGGTTTCTAGTCTTTTCTCTTTGAGAATTGGTTCTGTATCGAGGTTACTGAATTCAAGTATTTAAGATTTTCAAAGATTTTAATGACTCATTTGAAGATAATTAGTTTTTGTGTGTCAATTTTTTGTGTGTCAATTTGTAAATTGTATAAGAATTTTGAGTTGATAAAAAAGAAAAGGAAAATAATGGTGTGGACAGTGAACAAGAAAAACATATTTTAGGAGTTGGGGTGGTTCTTGAATGAGCTAAAAATGAGTGAATCATTGGTTTTTAGGTAACAAATAGATGTGAAATCATGCATGTCACAGCTTTTTCCTTTCAACTTAGAGCCGGCCAACCAACCAACTAGGTTGACCGGGTGTTTATTTCATTCGAGTCGTTGGTTAAAAAAGTCATGAGATACTTAAAATATAGAGTTAGCTTTAATATAGCACTTTGATTTATCAATACTAATCCATTAGTTCTAATATTATTAAAAACAAATTCAAATAGTTCCTTAATAAGTGTTGATCATCTTAGCTTTATTTTTTTTTATTTCCTAAAAATGAAAAATAAATTGAACAATAATTCATTCTCTCTTTCCTTCTCTTTCTCTATTTCTCAAAAATAAAAATAAAAGCATAATCAATTGAAAATAAGCATAATAATGACAAAATCACTAAATTGTAATAAACTTTAGAATATATAAATTAAATATATTGTTTTTGAATCCACAACAACTAATATGAAACAAACTAAGTTATAATTACTCTAAATAAATAAAATAAAATAAATTGAATCTAAAAGCAAAAACATCATGTACATACTCATTTCACTATTTATTATAATAGTAAAATAACATTTTTTTCTTTTTAAAAAAAAAATTGTTTTTATGGAGTTATTTTAGTTTTTTTTACACAATACACTAATTATTAAAGATTTGTGCGAGGGTATAATTTTCTTTCCACCTTTTTTAAATGTAGTGGAATCACCTAATTACTCTTAAGGTCATAATTTTTAAAATTATGTAAGAGAGATATTTTGATCTTTTTTATTTTTTTAATATAGTAAAATTACAATTTTTCTCCTATAATAAAAATAAATTAAGTCAAATATGAAGGGGTACTTTTATCTTTTCTTATAGGTTTTTTGGTAAATTTCAAGATCAATAAGGGCACTTTAATATTTTTAGTTTCATTAATTATTTTTTAATATAAATGGGAGGCGACTACACTCTTTAAACAGCATGTTTTGCACCTCTTGATGGCCAAAATTGCTCTTTCATTATATCATTTGATGCATCATCATGTTCCCTTCCTAGTGGTTCAGCGCATGTCAGTAAAGATGGGTTGGTTTGTTAACAATATTCTATTTTTTCTTTTTCTTCCCATAAAAATTATAGATTGGTCCTCTTTTATTTTATTTTTTCAAATTCATTTTTTATTCTTTTTATTTATAATTTTTGTTCTTGTTGTTTTAGAAAAGTTTTGTTTTAATTTTATTCTTTAATCAAATTTTATGGTTTATTATTTTTTTAATATTGATCTTGATTCTTTTGATTTTTTTTATTATCTAATTAAATTTATCAGACATTTCAATTTAACCCTCAAACCAAAAATTTGTTGTCACCCTCTATTTTATTTTTTATTTTTTATTTTAACTATCATTCTTTTAATTGTTATTTTTTTATTTTAAATATTTTTATGTAATTATTTTTTGATTTCATCATTCAACATTTCATCTATTAGGGATTGAGTTTCATGGTTTTTTTATGCATGGTACATTCATTCCAATGACCTGACTCACAAGTTTGAAAATCTAACAGCGGTTGACAACCTTTTCTAGCTTATTTTATTTTTTAATTTTTTTTTGTTGATTTATTTCTATCTCGTAACCTAAAATATAGGTTGGGAGAGTTAACCCGGACTAGCTCGCCCTTTAATCCTCATATTATATCTTTATCATGCTGCTTAGGTTGACTTACTCTGGTTTTTTTTTGTTTGTTTTACTCTATTTCATTTTTGTTATTTTTAATTGGCTGAAAATTAAACAACATCCATTTTCTACTCTTAAAAAAAAAAACAAATTCCTTGAATTATCATATTTATTTTTTAAAAAAATAACAGTTGTTTATTTATTATTATTTCCTTTTTTAATTTAAATAAAATCAGTTTATTTGATTGGTTGAGAATATAACTCAAGTTACTAATTTTTTTTAAATGCATTTACCATACCTACCTAAATATTTGATAAAAAGATAACTCTAACCTGTGGCATGGAAGAAGGAAAGAGTATGCTATCAAAAAAAAATATTTCCATTTAATTATACATTTATTTTTAGAAAGTCGTGCACTCAAATCTTAACCATTAATTTAAATTTTTAGTAAACTAGTGAACCTGATCCAGTTTGAAAGTATAAAATGTTTGTCCAATTAATTTAAGAAGAACCGAGTAGAAAAACAGCTAACCTAGAAAAATTGAAGATATACCCTCTGCTTTTCACTTCATAAAAAATCTGAAAAAAAAAAAAGAGGTACTGAATCTCATACCTTGAAATAACAGCTTTTTACTAGCAAGCCCACAACATGTCTTAAGATGAGGCCGGAACGTAATTTGCATAAAACAATATATTTCTTAATATGATATTTGGGTATATTTGATTCTATATTTAAAAAATATTTTTTTAAAAAAAATAAAAATTTATTATTTTTTATTTACTTCAAATTAATATATATTTTGTGTTTTCAAATTATTTTTACTTATTGATATCAAAAATAATTTTAAAAAATAACAAAAATTATTGGCATATATTTTAATATAAAACATTATTTAAAAAGTAACTTCCAAATAAGGCAAAGATAAAAATTATGTTTTTAATTCTTTCTTGTAAATGGTTTTTTGTTCTTCTAAATAAAATGAAGGAACACAGAGGATCAAAATAAAGATAAAACCAACTTAAATTTTGTTTTCACAAATACCCCTCTGCGAACTTTCTTTGATTTTATTAAGTTAAGAATATGTGTTATCTCTCTCACACACACATCTACTTTTCTCCTACTCTTTATGATTTTTCCTGGACAATTCTATTATATATAAAGCATGAATTTAAATGTGTTTCTTAATTGCACTGCAAAAGACTGTACAAATATGGTATGAACAGATTGGGATATCAAAAGAATTATGTCTGCTTCATCTTCTTCCCAGCAAGAATTGGCTGGATCTGCAAGTGCCTGTTGAAGGCCTCGTTGAAAAGAAAACGAGTCTGGAAGTTTGATACGGTTGGAAGCCATGCTAAAACTGCTACAGGAGCAAAAAGAACCACGCTCATTCCATAATCATATGCCCTGGCAAGAACACTGGTGAAATGCCACAATCCAGTCTCCTCAATCTTAGGCCTTGCAGCCTGTGCAATCTGACAGACCAAAATATGAGCACAGATGAACTAGGATAGATGTGTTTTCAAGAAGAAATTAGTGCTTACCAATATCAAGCCCCATCCAGTGGGTAAAAATGCTAGACAGCAGACAATCAAGTCCTTCATTGATAGGTCGCAAACGCTGGACAGAATAATGATAATAGCCAGAACAGCAATGAAGAGGAATGCTTTGAAAAACCTGAAAGCTAGGTGGTAATTAGTACTGAACTGTTGCCTTCCCATGTTCACAGCCTGCATAGCATCACGACATAATGTTAAAACTGAATTGTTAAGACTGCAATTTGAGCTGAGACCTTGGATATTCCAACCAGCTGCTTCAGTTCTCAGGGGAACACTGAACTTTCCTACTAAATCGAGTGAAGGAATATGTGGTTATTTAACTGCTGGAAACTAGTGGGAAATTTGAAGATCAATGTAACTTTTACAAGGATGTTAACTAGGATTTCAAGCGCATAACTGTTTAGTTGAAATGCATGTATCCAAACCAGGGAACCAGCAACGCAAGCAAAATAAATAAAATACAGGACAATTGGAGAATTATTTACCTTGACTAAGAGAAAAACAGCCAAAATCACAAACCATGACAGAATGTAAACTAGGACATTTTTGCTCTTTTGGGAGATGTCGAGGTGATACACCAAACCATACTGGTACATAAAGAACCGAGCAGAGAGAAGTATTTCAAACAGCCTAGCACCCAATCCTGAACCGCAAAGATGGGCCTGCTCATCATTCCACCATGACTGCCAACTTTTATCTTGCTGAATTCCTATACCACCTGGCAGCCTGATCCACTTATTCAAATTTTTCCAGTCATCTACTATATTTTCCCAATCAAATCCAGCAGGATTAAACAGAAATGGTGCAAACAACCAAGTGATCGACATGAACCAAATGGAATAAGTGATTAAGACGTATGCCATGCTGCTCTGGTAGGACCGTCTAAACAAATCATAGACAATCAAAAGGAGTACTAGCTCAAATCCTTTAATAAAGTGGCTTCGTGAATATAATCTATAAATCTCAGTGAAGCTGGCATGGAATACCACCACCTTGCGCCCAGTTGGCCGGTACTTAGCACCCCCATGTAACATTGTTCGACCATAATAATGAATTTTTGTCCCTAGTGAGAAGGTGAAGAAAACAGCGGCTAGTTGCAATTGCATGAGGACAAAATCTTTGATGGCTGTGAGAAATCCTTTCTCAAGTCCTATCTCCATCACCATCGGTAAGCCAGTTAGAAGCCCAAGCTGGATAAATGATTGGGAGGCAAGAGCTGTTTCCAATGATTGTATGTTATGAACTCTAGCCTCAAGTAGGAATGCCTTTTGTAGACCGCTTAGGACAAGGTATAGCTGACCGTAGAGGAACACATAAATTCCAATTACTGAAATCTGTGGATTTTACATGCGGAGTTTGAGTCAATATATAATTATCAAACAAGGAGCAAACTGACTGGTATTACATATCAGAGATGGAGACGGCAACACAAATAAAAATGTTTTCAGAGTAATAAGAGAACTTGTTAAATTTAACTTTAGAATAACTATATATTATCTGGTTCATGAATTAGCAATGTAGCATACAACCCTAAAGACCATTTGAACTGGTAATAAATTAGCAAATCAAAAACAGCAAGGAATCATTCTTCTTCATAAGCTAACCACTTATAAACGCATGAGGCTAGACAAGAAAACGAAACTTGAGTAGTATTAATCCAGGAAATTAGAAGAAACTACAGTGGATAAGCACAACAATCCAAAGAATTTTATCTTACCATGCGCCCGCGCCCCCATGCACGTATACCGGCTTGTTTACTTGTGTAATTTTTAACATAAAATCTAGCTTTTATACTTGGTTAGTGAACATAAACCTATATGTGGGCACAGTTTTCCACAAAGATAAAAACATTTAAGGTGACTTCACATCAATCTCATTAAATTCACTTCTTTCTTTGAATGTAGGATTATTTCAGGGTGCAAAAGAAATACCAGGTTACTGAAGTAAAACCCAGTGGTTGTAAAGTAACAAGATAGCATCCGGAAAAAATCAAAAGAGCGTCCAAGTCGGTGTATGTCACGGCTTATTGTTTGTTCACTGTTTCCATTTGCTACTTTGGCTTCGAACTTCGAGATTTGATTTAGACCTACATCGCGACCTTTTCCAACTTGCAGGTACTCATGGTAAGTTATGCATCCCCGTCTTAATATAGAATTGAATCCTGCAGATAATACATAAGTAGCTCTGAATAATCACCCTTCACAGAGAGCAACTTGTGAAAGTACTGGTCCGTACCTGCATATACATCCTCACTTAAGTTTATTGTTTTTGATGCTTTGCTTATGCCACCCCTTGTGATGTGAAACAACCTGTCAAATACATCTGGGTGCCCATAATGGAACCTTACCCTGTGCAGAAGATGAACATTAAAAGAATAAATGAGTAAAGATTGACCACATAGGCAAAAATCACTTTTGTGCATAGAATTAAAAGGCCTCGACAACAACTAGGAGAGGACAGCTGAACGGATTTGCAAATATATGGAAAATGGATGAGCCTACAATGCAATGCAACATTATTAGCAGTTTGTTTTTACAGTTGTACTCAATTTTCTGGATCTGATCTCCGATGAGTATGATAAACTGAGATTCATAACAAAGAATCCAAAAGGCAAGTTAATAGAAATAGGGCAACAGGTACCTGAGAGGATTTGCAAGAAGCCTTTGACCAATGGTGACAAAGCTTGCCTCTTGATATGACATGAACCAAGCTAGAGATGAGACACTGCACTTTGGAAGATAATGTAAGATTCTCGACTCGAGATGTAAAATGATGACATGACATCTAAATCGACAACATTCTTTCCTGTATATGGATGATTTTTTAAAACATCAGATGTTCAAAAAAAGTAATTTTCGGTAACAATCATATTTTGAAGATGTGAGGATTTCCATTGACCTTAAATTATGTATTAAAGAACTTGCATGTGCAACAGAGTTCAGATTTGAAAGAACAGTAACTGCATATAACAACCTCATTAGTTAGAAAAAAAGAAAAATGAAAATAGATTCTTTCGAAGGTTCACGCAGGTTAGCAGGTTTTAGTTGTAATTCCCCAGCTCCATAAGCATACAAAGTAATGCATTTCAAAGTTTGTTTGAAGTAATGCAAAATGTTTAAAGAACTGCTAATATCAGCATCCAGTATCCTTGGCTTAGTGTTGAAGACTATAAATTGAAGGCTATTCCTTAATGTTTGGGCTCCTCATTGAATTGCTTTTGTACTATGTAGAGCATCAAGCTATGTCTCCCAAACTGTCGAAGGTCAGACTGATTCTAGGTCTGTGGCATCAAGAATGATTGCATGACAAGCTACCAGTGCATGAAGCAATTAAAAGATAAACTAGCTGGCATTTTATAAATGGTTGTCTCGGTATTCTCTAGCTCTTGTTCTGATAGTAAATGAGTCTAGCTGTGAACTGAACCTCAAAAGTTTAAAGTTTCATCAATCTATGACTTTGGTCTTCTCTAGGCGCAGGATCTATTCGTTTAATTTATGGGAGAAAGGGACTAACCTTCCAGTGAATATGTGTTCCCTCAAACCAAGTATAGTCGGAGGTCGCCGTCCTTGCTGCCGAAGAAATTCTTGTAAGAGGTTCCGCATTTTGAAAGCTTCTTCCAAATAATTATCCTGTAAAAAGAGAGAATTAAAGTATAAAATGCAAGATATGCGTATCTATATGTACCAGTGGAAAACTGTACCTGGTTCATATCGATTGTTTGAAGAGCTTCACCACGTGTAAAGATTATGGCATGATTTTGATTTTCTGGTTTCCCTTCTCCAATATTTGGTGGTCCAGGAAGTTTTATTCGGTAAATTTCCTATAGAAAAACATACAACACATTCAGCACAAATATGCTGCTGTGCATAAAAAACTTCACACACACGAACAAAAACATGTTGATTTAGCTGCATGCATCTCTCTCGTTTGGTTTATTAATTAATCACTATAGAAAACAGAGCCTTTGATGCTTTCAATCCAATTAAAAGAAGTACTAGGTAGATAAAAAAGTAAAAAGATAGCTAAATTAATGAGACAGAACATAGTGAAAAACTGACTAGGTTCAGGCTCGTTGAACCTCTCTGAACAAGCGAAAAATTGTACTCCAACTTAAATGTCTAAGTCTTACAGTTTAGTAAATTTCGCTCTTAAAAACTGTCTAAATCTTTAAACATCTTGAAAGTTTATTAAAATGTAAGCTTTTAAATCAACCTTCGGCTGTTCTTTTCTCTTAAGATGCCAAGTGCATTGTAAATTCTTCAATCACAACACCCACTGTGCCCAAGAAAAAAAAAAACATGACTATTTTTTAAAAGAATCAGGGACTTGTTAAGGAAAAATTCATAATCCTCGACTTAACATATTTCTCAAACCAAACGTTTCTATATTAATCCTCACAGCACGTTGTAATACAATCTGAAAAGTCACTACCTGATCAAGAGCATCGACAGCTTTAACCAATATAGAAGAATAAACCTTCTGAGGTTTATGTTCCACTATCTCTTCTTTCTCCTCAACATAAGCAACACGGACAGAGGGGTACCTTCAAGTGATAATTTTGTGGTCAAAATCAGATGAATATTTCAGTTTGGGAATACTTAATTTATTTTTTTGTAAAATAGTACCTTTTCATCAAGTCAAGTATGTCTTGTGCATGGGGATCTCCAGAGGACTTTTGTGATCCAAACATTTGAAATGAAATGACATAAGTGAATTTCAAGTCTGCTAGTGCATCTAACCGAGCAAATAATGTAGGATTATTTTTTTCCGCACCGTCATAACCTTCAAGAATATCTGGATAAGCACAGCCAGAAAATGGCGAAGACCATGTTAAGTAATACAATTTTCATACGTAGGAATCTGAAGTAATGCACTAATGATATACTCCTTCTTGTGATAAGGACAAAGGTTATCTGATGCTATCTGCTACAGTCTACATAGCGAACCTTCATTGTCAGCCATATCAAGAAATGCTTGAACTCTTAAGGCTTCTCTATAGTACATCATTCCTCTAACTGTTATAAGCAAAGAAAACAAAGCAGGAGGTTATATCCAAGTTAATTATATCCGCCAGATTGAAATCAATGGCCACAAACATTAATATTACTAAATCTTTCTATTCACCTGTTCTACTCAATGTTTGGCCACGGAAAGAAGCCCAGTTTCTGAGCTCTGAAATCATTTTTTCACCTTTTAGTTCATCTGGATTTTCACATCCCATGCGTTCCATGAAATTTTCCCACTCATCTAAGATAAACAACATGATAGAGACATAATAAGAGTTTTTTTTGGACTAGTATGAAGAAACAAGTAAAAGAAAAAAAAAGGAGTCCTTTCTCACCTGGATAAATACTCCGCATGTAAAATAAGATGGGAACCCTGTCCTGGCTTGAATGAAGTTCATCCATTGAATAAATAACATCCTCCTTGAAGTGTGGAGTTAAAACACTGGTAACCAGAATATTAATGTGAGAAAGTATACATGGGCTTAGAATCATTTCTCAATTAAACTCAAGATTCCACACCATGCTTCTTTAAGCATGATAATTTTTTTTTCATTTTAATGGGATAACTAGTACCATCTATATAAATGTTCAAGAAGTACTTTGCTGAATTTCCCCTCTGATCCATGCACATGTTCAAGATTCATTGTTTGTTAGGATATTCCAGGAATTGAAATAATCGAATTACATAACAATGATGAAAATTTTCAAGCAATGCAGATGAAAAGATATCATATTATGTCTAATGTAGAGGTTATTATTTATTGAATCCTGAATTATTAAGCAATGTATTATTACAACCCAAACTCAAACTCAATTATGTTTCAGTGTCCTATCCTGCCAGCTGTGGTCTTCAAGCTGGGTAAAAGAGGGATTGCAATGAGTGGCCACTAGCATAAAACAGTATTCAAATTTATTCTGCTGAACAAAACAACCGAAAAAGATAAATTTATTTTAGATTGAAAATGAATTGGATTGAAGTAATAAACAAGAGTTTATCACCTTTAAAAAGGGCTGATTTTTTTTTTATAAGAATATGTTGAAAATCTTAGGAAGAAGACCCATGCGGTCCACCTCAATTAATATCACATTGAGCCTTAGTTCAATGGAATCAAGTTGGCTTCTATAGCATTAGTAGTGCTGCAATGCTAGTCTCATTCCTCCTAAATACTCAACATATATCATCAGGTGACTTAGAAACTTGAATACCTAATCCAAATATAGATGATGAAAAATCAAAAGGCAAACAGAGAGAGCCTTGGCCAGTAGAGAAGCAGGAAAACTGTCATGAACAATAAGCAGAGGGTAAGAACTACGAGCTTAACCTGAAAGATAGCATATTCCGCACATTAGGAGCAACGGGCATATCAGTGAAGAGTGAAGTAGCAAAGAATGAAATACGTCTCCGAGCCTCTAAGTTTGCAGGTATGTCCATTGCCTTGTCATTGACTGTAAGCAGCCAAAGGAAACGCCTGATCTGCCATTCAAAGTTTGAAACAACTTAGTAATATGTATGTTAGGTTTGCCAAAATGAATTGCTTAGTAAAGCTGTTTCCTAAGCAATAAAAAAAAAACAAGAAGATTCCTGAAACAGATAAAATACACCTGTTGCTTATTGCCCAATAACCATGGATTAAAAGGTGAAAAAAAGAGTGCAAGTTCTTTGTCCCAGAAAGAAGCTCTTTTTGACCGTCCATAGAAATAACAAATGGTTGATAAAAGTAGCAGGGAATCAACTATTTTATTAAGTAGATATAAATACCTTTCGACATCTATTTTCAACAGACTCAAGAGGAAAGAATGACACACTTTCTGTATCAAAAAGGGAAGGAGAAGATAGTATCACCTGTTCATTGAAAGTGCCACTATCTGGCAACGGAAAATGGATAGAAGTCCTGTCAGTAGCTGATTCAAATAATTGTGGTTCAATTCTTCTGGAAAGATCAACTAAATTCTCTTCTGTCCGCTCAACATTCTGTCGGGAAGAGTAGACCAAATCCAATATTCTGTTCAAAACGAAAATGAAATGGAGTAAAGTGACACATTGAGTTGATCTTAAAATTTGGATTAATCCCTAAAACAAGAGCCCCTGAGAAACCTAACCTGGAACCATCTGTCATCATATCGTAGGTCACAAGCTCAAACATATCTTGGAGAACTTTCACAACATTACCGTTTTGATTTTCATTTCCCTCCAGCTTAAGAAATTGCAAAATATTGTATTTTAATAACCAGCAATGAGAAATAACTGCATAGTCAATCTTAACACTTTCATTCTCAATGGTTATAGTTACCAGAAGTTCAACCAACTGAATACATTTTGCTTTCAAGGCTGGAAGCTCACTCATCTTGAAATCCTCAAGAAGACTTGACCTTTCCATGCTTTCTTCAATTTCATTTAGTATGCTGGATACAACTCTGAAAACCGATGCAGGCAACACCACAAGGTCAGCAATAGTATTTGAAGGATACATATGAGAAGCAAGCAGAGGGAAGTAACTCGGCTTCCATTCCAATCAAGAAAACACAAAAAAGAACTATGCTATACAAAACTTGCCGGAACTCAAAAATCAATATCGGTTTTTTTCATATTGAAGATTGCATTCAATCAAAAGCTGAATCTTCTGTACCTTTTCTCCAGATCGCCTACAATGAGCATTTCAAGGACATACTTGAGTGACTCATAGCCCTCCTTCACAGCACAATACATGTACTTGTCTTTTTTAATTTTTCTGAAAAGAATCTCATCCTTCCCCACAAAATCTCTTGCAATGCTCAGTGCTGTTGAAAACTAGTAAGAAAAAAGAGCTTTGTTTATAGATGAATGATGCTATCAAAACAAAACTACGAAATTTTGAACACAGGGAACGAACCTTGTTTGCCAGGAGGAAAATAGGCCAACGAACCATGCCAGAAAATAACTCTGAAGACATAGGAATTGTCATCAAATCCATCTCCCTGTTGATGAAAACATTACCTATAAAATATTTCTTGGAGATAGAGGTGGAAACAGAATAGTACTCCAACAAGTAAAATGTACCAGTTGCTTATCAAGTCCTCTAGCCGGAAAGTATTGATTATTTGGTTCCATACGAAAGCAAACTTGGCAACACCATTTGTTTCATTTTCAGAAACCTGAAAATAAAATCTAGTAAATTGTCATTGAGAGAAAAGGAGATCCTCGATTAAGAAAGATATTCTAACATTAACAAATCCCATACCTTACGAAATCTCCGGAGAAAGAAATTTCTTCTTGTTTTCTGATCACTTTTTGCTGAAGTTGGGATCAAGCAAGCATTGAATGCAGAAGGCAAAGCATGAAATCTACTTCTCAGCATCCCCAATGTTCGAATCTACAAATAATAGGAGAAATAACAGCCAACCCCAATATTTGGCGAGAAAACATTACAGCTATAAACTCCACCAGGCTTACCTCACCAAGATGATTTAAAATGCCATAGAGTCCTCCAAAAATTGTGCAGAAAACAGAATACCAAATCTGTGTGTCCATGAAATACACCTGAGAAAATTGCAAAATAAGCAAATGCCAGGCATTATATGTTTGCTAGGGAAAGTACAATGATCCAAGAACTTCAATTTCATTCATGCCTTAGTGACTGTAATGTATTTGTTTTAATATTTTGATTTTCCACCTTCATGGGTTGGCTTGAGAGAAAGATTTGTAACAGAATTGCATCAAACTAAAAAAGCATTGCCAAAATGAGAAGGAACATCAGAATCTTACAACTATAATTGGAGCCCATATAGCCATAAGTGCACCAACATTGCTTTTCACTGCAACAGTAGAAACTCACTTACTATATACATAAAGAAAGTGGTTAACTCTTAGAAGCTAAACGCAGAATGAAATGAAGTTTACCTTTTGGGAAAAGCTCATGCCAGTCATAATTTTCCACACCTATTTTCAAGATTAGTCTTGTTGGTCCAATGAGTGGTTTGATCTGCATATTTCCATTGACAGGAATAATCAGTATCTTTGCTTTTATGGGAACACCTCTCATCGTGACAATAGTGAAATCATACTGCAATACTGCTAGATGAATTAAGCTTTCACGAAGAGCAGCGGCATGATATTACACGTTTATAAACAACCAATTATCATATTGAGTAAACATAAATGTTTCTCAAAATATTCTTTATGGCTCCTTCAATTGCAATTCCCAAGTGGAAAACTTAATGAATCTGAAAGACCTATTTTGTATCAGTAGTTGGTACGAAAAATAAAGTCCTGTTTCTTAATCCAGAATCAGAAAAGAATAGCTGTACTAGCACATAGACTGGACATATAAACTTCAAGAGGTGTGATAAATTGTCTATTACAAATTTGAACAATAATGAGAAAGATTATGTGGCCTCTTGGTATAATATTTTTGAATCATGTTATAAGGACATAGAAGATGCAATGAAAGAAATAAAATAAGATCTTCTGTTTCACCAAAGACAGTAATATTCCAAGCAATCAAGACCAGAATAGTCCTTTGTATCAGAAAAGATTTGAGATTCAGTTGATAATAAATGCACATTAGGTTAATCAGGTCTTCTATATTTCATATTAACTTGCAAGTTTTTTTATTTATTTATTTTTTGCACATGCACATATAATTCTAGAGAATATAATTTACTTGCTACACATGTTTTTCTTGCAGGCATTAAGACTGTTCCGAGTAAATTATATAAATATTAATTTTAGTGTTTAGACTTTAGTGTATAGAGCTCATGTCCCCAAGTTTTCATCTTGTGCCATTGAGGCATAACTAAGTGCAGATTCCTTTCTAATATACTGCATGTTTCTAACTCATTCAGCCTTGATGACACAGTAAATAACTTTATAATATCACAATATCCATGTCATCTACAACAATCAGTCTGTTGTGCAAAATTAGAGTGCAAAACAGCCACTAGTTGTGGATTATGCATCACATATCGAATGATAATCATAGAAAAGGGAGAGAATTTTAGCACTTCTAACCTCAAAACTATAGCTGAATAAAAATTTGGTCAATAATACCAGCACCCAAAATACTGTATATCTGGTAAGTAAGAAAAAGTTTGTGTTTAGGGAAGAATAAAGAAGGAAAAAAAAAAAGGCTAATGAAAAGCTTCTAAAATGGGAAAATGAGATACTTGAGAACCGAAACTTGGGTTTCTTGCATCCCACGTCCAACATATGATCTTGGCTGCATGATAAAAACAGTAATTGTTGAATCATGGTTACAATAATCTAATAATAATAAAAAGATTAAAAAAAAAAGAGGATAAACGTTAGGTTTATATGCTTCACATGGCATAAAAATGAAAAGAACCAGAACTTGTATGAAATTACTTCTCAGTTAATTAGAGAGAAACAGAGTGGATTACAAATGAATTAAAATAAATAGCTCACAAACAAGAATAACACTTTAAATCCAAGGAAATAGTGCTTGTAAAGTTGATGAAAGGTAATTGCTATGGATATAGAGAAAGGCTCTTTCTTCCATTTACAATCATGAAATGGTTGCACTTTACACCTGTACTTCTAAAAATAATGTAGTTGTTTAGAAGTTCACTTGTACTCCTAGATTTTCAACATGAACACGTTGATCATGGATTCATGTTTTGTAGTATCACTTTAGAACTGAATAATCTTATATTATGTATAATGCTACAGTCATCCCATCATAGAAAATAATTTTTTAAGTTGACCAAGTAAGGACAAGTTTCTATCCACAGTTCATTTTAATCTTTACTGTAGTTTTAATTGCATGCCTTTAACATCTTGAAACTTGCAATCCCCATTCAAGTTTAAAACACAGAATCAGAGTCAATCTTACAATTGGCATTGGCTAATTACTGAAAATTTTAGGGAAAGCACATCACTTCAAGATGGAAAAACCATATGCTGAAGGAAATTAAAAACAAAAAGTACTTGATTAATCATACCTGTGTCCACCAGGAAAATATTTTGAATATCTGACAATTCGAGACCTCAATGTACTTGTGAATCGCAGGAACAAAAAATAGGACCATCTCAACTGCATTAGTCATATGGAAAATTGCAACTGCAACCATATAGGAAGAAAAACACAGCTCCCCTAGCCAGCTTCTATATTGTGTGGAATAACAAGTATACTTCCTCTTAGATTTAGCATAAAATACAGGTAGAACAATAGTCCATATGACTGCAACTAACAGCTTCAGCACTTGTTTCCTTCTTGACAAAATATCCATCGTGAGTCTTGTTTTCCATGTAAAGACAATGTCAAGAATTGCTGCAACATAAAAACATATATTTATGAATTTATTGATCTCTATCACTTCTTCAATATGATGATGTTTGTGCAGGCATGTCATGAGAAGGGGTGGGGGTGACTAACACTGTTGAAACCCTGTATCTTCATGGTGTTAACAAGACTCATAATAAACTATTTGTTAGCACATAATAGTAACATACCTTGTACAAGTTTAAGAATAGCAGATGTAATGAAGATGCTCATGATGTCCTCAAATACTACTGCATCGAGCATTTCAAGTGGGGACCCCAAATCATGGCAAGCCATAATTATCATTGCCTGAAATGCAACAAAAATTACTATTAGACACGGCTAATTCATCATATAATGGAACTAACCAACAAATCAGTTGTATGTTGTATTTGACCTGAAGGGATAGAATAAAAAAGCTCCACATTCTATCAAAGCTCCTAAAAATCTGCCAAAACGAGCGAATCTCTGCAAAATTTTTCTTTCCCTGCCATTTTGGTTCGTGTATTTCTTGAACAGTAGCCTGATAGAAATGAAGAGAGAGTTAGAAATTGGATTATCAAATGCCAGACGACAACCCAACTTCCCAAAACAATGTTGGAGATTTCATGATCTCATAAACCAAAATATATATATATATATATATATATATAGCAAAGAGATATCAAATTATTCTACTTTGCCTACTTAGATGCTCATATAAAAGCCACAATATGGCAAAAGACAAGGTATCCTTCTCTCCTTATTCTCACTACTGATATAAGATGAGTTGCATCAAAGCTTATCTATCAAAAATTATATATGTTCCTGAATGCAGGCACTTTAATCCAAGAAGTAAAGGTTCAAAGCAATAAATTCAACAGATAAAGTTCAGGAGGATCACCCACAACACCCATATAAACACAAGATTCACCTCACTAAACCCTCTGATTAATGACTAAAATGTGGAAAGTCACCAGCTATCTAAGTGTAAATCAACATGGGCTTTCCCTTTTCACCACATAAAATCATCAATTTATGTTGCAGAAATGAGAACTGAAGACATGGTAATCTATGTACGAGATTAATAACTATAGTTATATGTGCATGTTAATGGCTCGAATGTAGTGCAGTAGTGTCCCTTCACAAACTAGAAATTACAGAAGCTACATTTCAAAATAGACAATAGACAAACAGAAGAACTGAAACTATTATTTGAAATCTGTTCAGTTTATAAATCAATGGCAATCTGGAAATAGAAAAAAATGCTTAAATGACGAGAGTGATAAAGTTTACCCCTGGTTCTTCATCCTCGTTTAATCCCATTTCTTCATCCTTGTTTTCTTCTCTCTTTCTGTTTTCTTCTATAATATTCTTACGTTTGGGTTTCTTTAAAGACTCGAAACAAAAGAAATCATGATCCAGACGCATAGGCCAACCTATTTGGAAACAATCACGAGACCTGCAAAAATATTGCAGCCATAACAATGTATTCTCAAAATCTTAACTTTTTGAAGCTGACTGAAACAACATGGATTCAATTCTCACCAGAAATACTCATTCAAATCATCGTAGTTTCTCCATGTAGAATGATCAGCTGTCCCGTTTTTGCTTTTCCGAGTTTCCTTCAGTTTTTTTTTTTCACTTGAAAAATAGCTTTTATATGGAAATATTTACCAAGATATAAATAAAATAGGAATATACCTCATATATAACCTTGTATATCGGGGTAACTACATTTATCAGGAAAGACTCAAACCCTCCTTTGTATGTTGTTGTGAATTTCTTTCGAATTAGCAGGTCATGCAATTCATCTGCCATCTGAAAGCAAACAAGAAAAGATCCACGCTTGTTCAATTATTAAGATCATCATATGAAGCTAATATTCATAAACTTGATAGTATAACTAAAGATGTTATTCAAGAACACTAAGTTTTTCAAAGATGCCTTCCAGAAGAGCAGACAGTCATGATTCAATGGCTATTTAATATAAACTGAGTGTCAGTGCAAATTTCCAAAACATTAAAAAAAAAAAGGTAAAAGTTTAGATGCTGCTTCTAGCACAAATTTTAGGGCTTTCAATCACTATCATAACATTTCCTACAGCTATCTGTTCATTTCACCAATAAACATGATATGTGCTGCCGTCTTGCAGAATTGCATTTGCATAGAAGGTAGGACTGGAAATCATATATAAAACCTCGCAGAAACCACCAAACAGTTACAGAAACCAAGGCCTAGCACTTCATTTCAGAATAAGAGTACACTTTTTGATAGAGCAAAGATGACCTCAGGCATGGAGAGCTTTATCCATGTCATTAAAGAGCAGACACTAGACGAGCTGCAGGGAAATCATCTACAATTCCTATCCTATGAATGCAAGAAAATGTACCTTTCTCCTAGCTGGATGAATGAGGAAAAAGGAATGTGTAAATCAGACACAAGCTAGATTCATAATGATCTATGCTCCAATGAAACCATTCAATTGCCTCAAACAGAAACCAATACTGATGCATGTGCTCATTTTTTCAGTTGAGTTTACACCGCTACATCTCATAAATCATATGGAAGAGCGTAGGACATGATATGTTAGATGTGGAAATTCTGGATTGTCCTTTGAACAGCTCTTTATCCACATTAAAAAAGAAACCAGTACTACTGCCATATATGGAAAGTAAGATTTCCACAGAGCGCATGATTTAGACATGGAAAGAGTTATTTGAACAATTGTACACAATTTACATCTAACACAAGTTATTTGTGCTTGATGTTAACAACAGGGAATCAAACAATATTCTTTTTTTCTTTTTTTCTTTTTTTTTGCTTTCCTCTACTTTCTAAGAAACATCTCATCTTGTTTTGTCAACACATTAGAGGAGCCTTTGATTAATGTCATTTCCTTGCAGATAAAAAAAATTGAAACGTATCTATTCCTATTAGTGAATTGTAATGTAGTTAATAGAAACTGTGGTTTCGAAATGCTGGGCAAAGACGCTTCTGTAACTTTGGCTAATGAAGTTAAACTATTTTTGAAGTCCAGGAATGAGACCCCATGGGAATTGAAATGAAAGAACAAAGTATTCAACCAATGTGGTCACAAACCTGTGAGTGGATTATACAGGAAATAATCAACAGAAACACATTTAAGCTTACATGGTGAAAGATATAGCATAAACACTCAGGCATAAACCGCAAGTTTGCTGCCTCCCCCCAAATAAGAAGGTAAAGTCCAATATATAAAATTTTGTATTGTTGAGCTTCCTGCTTCACATATGGCAACCTGCAAATACAAGTATCAAATTTATTGCAAGAACCTGAAGATAATGAATATAACAGACATATCACAGGTCTTCTGAAAGAATTAATGGACAAAGAAAACCAAATACATAGATGTGGAGAAATTAGCAGCAAAAAGTTGTCAAGAAAATTTGGCAAAATAGAAAGAAGGGAAAGATATGCTGTTTCAGAATGAAATTGGACAATGGATTTGTAACATCTCTGGCTCCAAGCAACAACAAAAATAGGTCACTTACTTGATGCTGCTATTTCTCCCCAAAAATTTACACCAATTAGTGTAATTTTTAAAAACTTTCTTCATCAGTTCATCCACAGCTGCATCTCTAAGCTGATATCATGAGAAATATATATCTCAAATTCAAAAGATAAGTGCGGTTTAACCAAAAATTCAAGAGCCAAATAGCTTAAAGACCTTATTAATAGATGTCTGCTTGGGAGACTGCCTAATATGGGTGCTAGCAAGCAGTAGAATTAGATGCTCTCTCTGGTTGGCAACATTTCCTTCCTGACACAACATACAGAAAGTGCAATACCATTCATGTCAATGTAAGCAAGAAGAGCATTATGTCACACGTCCAATTTCCCAACTCCAATTTTATTTGCGAATCTATAGCAAACTCTGGAGAACAAACAAAAGGAAAAGAAAAGAAAAATCAAATAGGAATAGTTGAGAGAGAATACCTGAAACTCAAAGAAAAATTCTAGAAATTCAAACAAATCCATGAAAGGCTCACGTTTCCCCAAATCCTCGGCTGAAGGTAAGCCTCGAATGTCACAAACAGCTGCCACAGCAACTTTAATCTGTATTATTTATCAGTCTGTCAACATACTTATTCCATTTAATCAAACCTCGAGCATGGTGCGGGAGGGAGGGTTGGGGGGGTATAGGTAAAATTGCAAGTAGGCTAACATCTTGTCAAATTACATAAATTTGCAGTTTTAGCAGCTTATAGGAAAACTCAAAAGTCTTTAAAATCATGGGGACAGCCCATTCTTAAGAATATTAAGAAGGAAATCACTTATATTATCCATACAGCATCAGACCTCAGGGAGTTGCATAATTGTGTGCTGAATACCTCCTTGATCTAGAGGAAGAATGTTATATGGTACATAGTGCTCAGATTTGGCATGAATACTATCTGTGTCAGCAAGGGCCTGTAAAGAAAGACGAATAGAAGTAAGAAGCACATGCAGTAATCATGGAATCTGCAATTAGTCATTGCATCCTATTATTAATAATTGAAAAAAAAATGAGAAAAGCACCTGGGTTCCAGCAGCATTTGTTACCGCTTTTAATACTACAAACAGTACAGAAGCAATCATTTGTGCATTTGTCAACCTCTTTCTGTGACTAATTCAGATAAAAATTCCACGAACTAAATTAGTAGCAGAGGAGTATGCAGTGAAGTCTCAGCTGGAATACAGGAGACGTATTTACCTGCCATCCAAATCAAACGCTCCACCACTTTTGATACACTCCTTGTATGCATGGTAAACACGTCTGAGCTCACGCGTATCACTCTTCTCCTTCCGTCTTATTAAGGTAGTATATTCGTCCTAGACATTTTATAAGCCAAGAAAGACAAGTTTCAAAATTGAAATAAAAGAACAAGAGATGGTAGCCTTCGCAAAGTATCTCAAAACAAAGTAAATCAAGCAGGAGATGAACTTGTGGTCAAGCACAGAAATCAAGCAGATACAAACACCACGCAGCAGTTAAGGGAAAACCAAGGAAGGCAAGTGTACAAGAGGTTACATAAGAGCACACTCATGCTCATCATTTCTTTAATCTAACAATCTTTTCAACATGCTTATCATTTCTTTGATCTAACAATCATTTCAACCCAGTGCATCCTTGGAGCTTGCAAGCACAGAAGAACTTTGATATGCCTATATGATGAGCTACTATCAAGTTCTTACTTGTTCAAGTCGCTGAAGGAGAGACGTTTTAAATTGGCGAACACCCCGTCCACTTGAATTTCTATCCATGCCATGTGCTATTTCAAAAGCTCGAAACCGACCTGTCCAAGAAAACCACATAATTAACAAAAAACAAAAAACAGGGGGTATAAGTTTGTAATAGAGTTCATTTTTACTTGGAAAAAAAAAATAGAGTGCCACAAACACCAAAGTCAATAGAAAATCAGATTGTCACTTAAGAATGAGCAACTATACAAAATCCAAGTGGTAAGATTTTTCAGTTCATTCACTGTCCATTTCCAAGGTACCAACCTACCTTCCTAATGACTGCAGATTGAAGAAATAATACTCCATCTGCATTGCATTACCCATTCCCAGTTCTTAGCAATAGTAAGAAAGAAAGAGAAAATCCTGTCAGTTGCTCCTTATAACTAACACAACCATCTTGAAATACCTTTAACCTGGAGACTGAGAATGAAAAACTTGCTCTGACCAATATTAAAAACCATAATTCCAACGCCTTTCATTAAGATTTCGTAAATTTGATCATGACCATTAGTTTGATCAGTTACAAATCAAAGTCGAAATCCCATCAACTAGTAATTCACACTCCAAAGTCGAAACCTTTCAAACAGCACTTTATAATCAAATTCAACAAAACAAAGCAGAAACAAGTAAAACCAACAGAAATTCCCAAACTCAAACTCCATAAAACACAATCCAAGTCTCCAAGAAGGAAAGATAATTCAAAACGTATAGTATAAAGAACCATATGGCTTACAAATATAAGCAATACGAGGCTCCTCGCTTTCAATCAAATTAGCAACACGAAGAAACTTTTGAATTTCCCTAGACAAACTGGAAGGCAACCTCTCACTATCAAAAGGCTCAGGTCCAGTACCACCACCACCACTACTACTACTAGCAGCAGCATGATCAATTACAAGTGCACCGTCCGTTCGCTGCGGCTCAATGGTAGGGTCTGCGGGAACAATTTCTGACATTTTGATGAAATGGTGAAAAGGGTTGGTGGGAAACGTGAGGAAGAGTTGTGAGAGTGAGAGGTTATGGTGAATAATACTGCAGAGTATGTAAGTGGGATCTTCTGCTTCATCTTTTGTTTGTTTTTGCTTAATAAGAAAGGGAGAGTGCACACTTTATTTGAAGGAGACTGACTACAGAGTGCTTTTTGTGGGTTTGGTATGGTTGTGATCTCTTTAGCTTTTGCTTTTGGTGATGGGTTTACGAGGGGAGGGAAGGGTTTTGCTTTGCTTTATTGCTTTGCTTGGTGTTAGTCCCAGAGAAAAAAACAAAAAAAAAAAAAGTGAGACTGTGAAGAAAGAGTTCCTTTCAAAACTCTATGGCCATTACGCGGTCTTTTTTTAAAGCTTTCCCCTCTTCTTCTTTTTTTCTTTTTTGCAGCTCCACTGCTTCCAGTCCAAGATCAATATGTTCAAAGGGTTCTTCTGCATATTCCAATCCAGCATTTATTTTCTCTCTTGTTTTTAGATTGCATAGCATATCCTCTACGTTAAAATGAATCCATTTGCTCTCCATTAGTTGTCTTCCAACCAAACAAGGGATGTGTATATATGTTTTTTTAAGGAAAAGAAGAAGAAGAAGCAAAAGCCCCTCTGCTAAGGAATGCTGGAAAAGGACATAAAGCAAAGCAAAACCTAATATTTTAGTGGTCAAACCCCTTTGCAATGGAAAGCTTATGCCTTCCCTTTTTTGCTTACAAATTAAGAAATAGAAAAGGAGAACGTGCATGTTTATGGGTCATGCATGCATGGCTGCTTTTCACCTATGAGCTCAGTGCTCATTGTAACTTTTTGGAGCCTACCGGCTCATATAATTGCAGCATTAGTGTGCTCTGTATTGTTCTTTTCGATTGAATCAGACTTCCTACAGGGAGACGGAAACGGAAAAGTAAAGTTACTTGAAAAGTAACGTGTTGGGATTATTGTGATCCTGTTTGCAAATTTGTTCTTCCCTGATGACAAGAGCGTAATGAACTTCACCACATGTTATTTTTAAAAATAAAAAATTTGATTTTTTTTTACATCATTTTAATTTTAATATATGGTGTCAAAAGTAATTTTTAAAAAAATAAAAAATATTATTTTAATATATTTTTAACTAAAATTTATTTTAACTTTACAAGATTCGTCTTTGATTCGCTTCAATACCATTAATTCTATGTTTGAACTATATATATATATATATCCAACCTCAAAACATTAAAGGCATTTAGATTTTTCTACAAGAAAAGGTGAGTAAGTTTCTCTGAAACATTATTAGCAATATTGAGGGTACGTACATTCATTCTATTTGTCAGATTTGTTCCAATTTCACTCTATAAATTTGTTCTTTATCAATTAATTCCTCAAGTACTTTTATTATTCTTTAACTAGTTATTTGTTTTTATTATTTAAAATTATTTAAAAAATTAAACTATTTTTATTTTATTATTTTAAATTAATATGTTTTTAGTGTTTTTAAATTATTTTGATACGATAATATAAAAAATAATTTTAAAAAAATAAAAAAATATTATTCTAATATATTTTTAAATAAAAAAATATTTTAAAAAAAAACCGCAACTATATTTTTAAACAAACATCCTATATTTTAGACCAAAAAACAATTTTAATGTAAAACAAGAATATACAGCTAATGTCTTTTTTTCTATAAAGATTGATTAAACTTACTTTTTATTTCTTTTTTATTTTCTGCTGATTTCTCTATGCTTTTTTAAACACTAGGATTTAAATATGAATAAAATAAATGCTTGACAAAACATATAACCTTTAAACCAAAAGGAATAAAATAAAAATCGAGAAGAATCTTTCCAAAAAGGTGCTGGATGAATAGTGTTGGGCTAAAAAAATATTGATGCCACCAGAACTGGATTCTTACAGCAAGTTACCCTCTCTTCTTTTAAATTTATCTGTGTTTAATCTATTATTATAATAATTTCGTTTTTACTAACATTATTATTAATTATGCATTTTCTAACGCTTCTAATCCTCCCACAAGTCACAAGGCATTATATAATTCATGATCAATGACTAATGAAATTCTAATTGTCTTTCCACAACCAAGCAGTTTAAAATCTTCGTGGGTTGGTGGAACCTGGAAACCGAGCGACAACTCGGTGAAGGCGTGAACGGTACGAGGGTATTGCCCTGATTCTACACCCTTCCATGTTCTAAGATGACATTCCAGTTAAACGGAAAACCATTCCTGAGACTGCTACAGTTTTCATGCAGGTGCCGCAGGGAATCCAAATTCCTGGTTGGATCGATGCCTTTCATGAGGTATAACGTCGTGCTAGTTCGCACTACAAGACCGGAACTTCCTAGGAGCCATGAACAATGGCCTACGAGAAGCACACACTGCTCGTTTGACGAGCATGGTAATTAAATTTAAATAATGGCAACGTGACCAAATCCTAAATAAATAAATTGAAGAAAAGGAGACCCAACACAACAAAGAAAACTGTCATTCGTATTTCATAGTACAACAAATTAGATTACTGGCCCGGCTGACATGCGACAACTGTCGGGCACAGACTCACTGTTAGCTTATCTAATATGAGCTAAGCAAGTGAAAATACTACAAGCTAAAACAAATGGAGCCAAGGATATGCTGGCACTTTACAATTTTCAATAATAACAAGAATCTTCCTTTCCTAGGGTACTCTAAAAACAATCCACATGCCCCGATCAACTTGGTATTGAAAACAAAAATTTCGAGGCAGGGCTTCCACCTACCTAAGTCAATAATCATCATTTGGGATCTACACACTACAGTCTACAATGACCATAAGATCAATCAAGACCACACTTTGTGATTCTCCCGTTTTCTACAGGCATGGTGCAGGAACTGTCTGTCAAGAGTTTGGTTGATGAATCACAGGCCTGTTTGTAATTTTCTCCTTTCCAGGCTCTGGAGGTTGGGTTGATGAGCATGAATCCAAAACATGGCCCCTCTCCTCCAAGAACCTAGTTTGTGGCCTCCTATTTGAAAATGTTCAACGGCAAAGAGTATTCTGATAAGAGGATTCTGGAGCATACAAATCATTGAAAATCGATGAGAAAGCATCTGCATTGCATGCATCAGCATAATCTATAGTACTGAAAGAGTCTCTGGTGCTCTCGGTTGTGAAAGAAGCCTCGTCAGAGCTTGTAAAAAGGGACCGATCACTTGATGTAGCATCAGAAAAATCCATCACCTGAGAGGGATTTTTCTTTGCACTCCTCCTTGGAATGCCATTAGCATAGCTGGCAAGGCTAGAACAGTTTTCTGGTTTGACATCCAATGAAGCTTCTGGGCCAACAAAGTGGCTGCTGCATTTGCTCTGTCCTTGTCTTGAAGGTTTCTGAGTTCTTGACATGCAGTGTCTCAAAGATAATGGAACTTGTTGCCTGCTGGCTTTCTCGCAAATTGCCTTTTCAGGGCGAGGACAGGACCTAGGAAATAAACACTTACAAGAAGTTGAGGGAAGTACAGACAAATGTAAACATTAACTAACAGTAGCATTCCTGAAAAGAAGAGACCAAGTAACTGGAGTCAATTTCAACCCCAATGTTTACCTCGTGTAAAACAAAATATATGCTCCTTCCAACATCACCTGGCTCATCGATACTGGATGAACCTGTTATGAGAGCGTGATCCAAAATCATTGAAATCCCAGTTCATCAATATAGAATATCAGGGAAACAATTAAAACATCAGAATTTTAAAATACAGTTGATCATGTTATTTAATATCCATATGATGGGCAACCAGTAAGAGGGAAGAAGAACAGAAAGAGAGGGGAGAGAGGTAACTTGTGGTGATCTCACGAAACTAAGGAGAGCACTTTCATGAATTTCATCAGCTATGTAGAGCTGTACATAAATATGCAGAAAAAAGTTTATCCTTTGGAAGGTACAGTTATAAACCTGAGATGCTAATAACAAAAAACCGTTGAAGATTGATTTTTGCACTGGAGAATAATTGGAAGGTACGGTTATAAACATGAGATGCTAATAACAAAAAACCATTGAAGATTGATTTTTGCACTGGAGATTAATTAGAAGATACGGTTATAAACCTGAGATGCTAATAACAAAAAACCATTGAAGATTGATTTTTGCACTGGAGATTAATTAGAAGATAGACAAATAGCAGTTCTAATTTCTGGCCATATTGGACATGATAGAAGCACAACCAGTCCAGAATATCATGTCTATAAAATGCCATCTTAGTCTTAAAGCTGTATATTGTATGGTCACATCCTGACTGTAGAGTGAATATTATAAGATTGTAGTTTAAACATCTCCATCTTTTGTTTTCTCCACTTTCCAAACTAAGCCAACTCTATCTCAAAGTTGGTTAGCAGATGAAACCAAGGTACATAAGTTAAATATGACATGTGAAACCTAAGGCCACTGAATTATAAGGTTTCACCCTTTCCAGAAAACAATATGCAACAAAGCATAAATATTTTGAGAGAGAGAGAGAGAGAGATGAATGATCCAATTACTATAGAAATGAACTGAAATAAAGAAATGGGTGTACCTCAGTGTCATCTATCCTGAACCAGCTCCCTTGCAAATCCTTTACATATGCCACGTAATGTCCAGAAAAGGAGGCATTCAGTGTATCCAAATGTACCACAACAGCATAAAGCATGTAAAGAGGAGGGACATCACCAGTTCCAGTCATAAATGGGATCATATCCAACATGTCAGGAAAAGTGACACATTTGTTTATTTTCCCATATTTTCCCTCCTGGTGAAGCAAAACCAACAATCTGAGAATCAAAACAATTAAAACCATCCATCCAAAAGAATATAAAATGTAAATATCCCAGAAAGGATATCAAAACCTACACAGTCTAGGCGGGTTAGAAACATTTAATTTGGTAAATTGCTACCTAAAAAAATTAAGTGATGAAACATCATGCCACGACTCAAAATTAATATAGTGAACTTAACGCTAATAGCAGGCACCCTTATATAATTCCTGCAAGTGGATTGAACATATGACAAGAAAGTAATTGTACTGAAATATGCAAGCAAACCTGGAATCTCTTCAAAACAATTGTCAGGACGTTTGGTGCCTCATGTATGCTCAACTGCTTCCTAGCTCGGACATATGCAGCACACCTTTTCATCAAAATATTTTCAGAGCCATTAAGTAACTTGATTTTTACTTCCAAACCTAAAACACTAACACATACCATGGCAGTGATCACACACAAAATAAAAAAGGAAAGGAAGAAAAAGAAAGGAAAGTAAAGGAAAGGAA